AAAATCTACCGGGAAGTAGAATTTGTCCACTTTGATGATAACGTCCTCGAGAATACCTCGTGGATGCTTGACCGATCTATCGGCAAGTTGCAAAACCACGGAAGTCGGCTTAAGATCTCCCAAACCAAGTTGTAGGTAGACTGAGTATGGAATTAAATTCACACTAGCTCCTAAGTCAAGGAGGGCCCTCTCGATTTTGCTGTCACCAATGACGCAAGAGATTGTGGGGGCGCCTGGATCCTTATACTTCGGAGGATTGCTGTGCTGAATGATAGCACTAACATTTTCAGTCAACCTCACCTTTTTTGGCAAATGATTTTTAGAAGTGCGCTTTTGAGTGCACAAATCTTTGAGAAATTTTGCATAGGGAGGGATTTTCTTGATAGCATCCAAGAGGGGCAAGTTAATCTTCACTTGCTTGAAAACTTCCCACATGTCTTGAATTTTACAATTCTTGTTTCCAAAATGTGTCGACTCTTGAAGACGTTGAGGAAACGGAGCTTTTGGCTCATAAGTAGTTTCCACATTTGGGGTGACATGTGTGGGATTTCCGTGAATGGTATTTGGACAAGAATTTGGATTAGAAGAGCTTGAATTTGGATTAGAAGAGCTTGGATTTGGATTTTTCAAAGGAGAAACTTCCTCACTTTTGTCTCCATCGACCTTGTTGTCAACCACTCTACCACTCCGAAGGGTGGTGATAGCTTGAACTTGTTCATGAGTCGGCCCACTCGGAGGAGGGGTTTCGTCAATCACATGCATTCCTCTAAGATTTTCAAAAGGTTGAGAAGGAAGCTTGCCCTTGTCCTTTTGAAGCAATTGATTCACCGAGTTAGCTATTTGGCCCACTTGATTTTCGAGATTAGCTATGGATTGAATATGAGAGTGAACCATTTGGAGAGTAGGCTGCAAGGATGTCAAGAGTTGCTTGTTGGCATCCATTATTTGCTTATTTAATGATAGCAGTTACTATCTCGTCAGTTGGACATACAGTAGGTTAATTGGAGACATTTGGATTGTAAGGAGGACGGTAGCTTGAGGAGGCTTGGAAAGGTCTACCTTGATATTGAGAAGAGGGCTAATTTTGCCGCCCTTGGTTTTGGAATTGGGAATTTTGTGGGGCTTGTTGCCGCCACGAGAAATTCGGATGATCTCGCCAACTCGGATTGTAGGTGTTGGAATATGGATTGTTCCCGGGCCGCGAGAACATGGCATTAGCTTGCTCTTGGTTGGGATTGGGAAATTGCTCCGGTGTGGGGCAATCTTCCGAGAGATGGAATGGACTAGTACATGAAGTACAAACTGAACTTGCCGAATTTTGAGACAATGAAGGAGGAAGATGTGGTGCCATCAATTGGTAAAATTTATGAGCGATGGCATCCACTTGAGATGATTCCTCCCTTATTGATTTTGGTTGACAAGGGTTGGTGTTCTTTGCAATGGTTGCGGTCGGAGCCCTACGAGAATTATGTTGAAGTGAATTTTTGCTTAAATTCTCAAGTAGGGTCCAAGCCTCATCCGCATTCTTGGACATGAACATCCCACCATAAGAAGAATCAACCATGAATCTATGGGTTTCGGTCAAGCCAGCATAAAAAGCTTGCACTAATTGGCATTTTGGGATCAAATGATGAGGACATTTTCGAAGAAGATCTTGTAGCCTTTCCCAAGTCTCATGGAGTTGTTCTCCATCAACTTGAGAAAAGCTTAGAATGGAACGCCTCATTTGGTTGGTTTTACTCACCGGATAATACTTCTTAAGGAATTCTTGTTGCAATTGAGCCCAAGAAGTAATGGAATTGGGAGCGAGGGAGTTCAACTAATATTTTGCCCTATCCTTTAGGGATAATGGGAAAAGATGGAGATGAAGTGCATTGTCCGGAAAACCTCTCAACCGGATGGTCGAACAGATTTCAAGGAACTCATCAAGATGCTTATATGGATCTTCATTATCAAGGCCATGAAATGATGGAAGCATTTGGATGGTGCTTGATTTGATCTCATATTGAGCTGCATCGATGTTTGGCATTACTATGCAAGAAGGAGAAGCATAGGTGGTAGGAATGAAATGATCTCTAAGAGTCATTGGTTCTACATTAGGAATTTCAGCCCTTTAATTCCCCGGATTTCCTACGTTATCCCCCATTGTATTGAATTCAGTTTCAAGATCCCTTGTAAGAGTGGGTTCTCTAAGGTTCCGTCTAAGAGTTCTTTCTAGTGAATTTATATCAATAGGCGAGTCAAGTGTGGGTAGAGAGAGTGACCTACGGCCAAACATCAACAACAAAGCATATATTCAATAACACAATTCATCATCAATACTCTACATATGATGTTCCCTTTCTCCTCAATTATCAAGACAGAAAATAAATGGCCACGACAAGGACCGATGCTTGTACACGAATTTAAACAAGATAATAGCCTCTACAAGGGCTTCACAACGAAATTAACTACTTCTAAAATTAACACATGTACTGTATCTACAAGTTGAAACTAGAAGTCAAGAGACTTACCTAGGGTCCTCTAGACTTACAATTTGCTAACGTTCCCACGGCGCTTCAAGTCCCTAGAATCTTACAACACTTAAAACACAAAGATGGTCAAAACACATAAGGAATATTCACAAGACACAATATTCACAATCAAACTAAAATTAACCCTAGAACTTTGGTCGCTAAACCGTTCGCACTCCCCGGCAACGGCGCCAAAAATTGATCGGTTGATCAACTATACATCAACCTTCGCAATAGCACGAATCATTGTAAAATAGGGCTATTGGTCGGGTAAGTCGAACCACTGGGACTGCGCTAGTCTTACGGCAACCTTAGTGTCTAGAATTTTTCTAGAATGATGAGGAAGTGTTCATAAAGGTTTTGTTTGTTGTCACTTAAATTAGGAATTCAAAGCGCATAAAACACTAATTTGCAAGGAATTTAGGATGAAATAGAACAATAGAGAAGAGGAGACTAGGGAAGTGAATCCGCCTCCATCCCTATACATATGCTAGATTAGACCTAAATTGGGGAAAAAACAACATATGATGGTCAAGACTTACATAGCAACACATGGTTGCCATATAAGTAATCAAGAGGTACATTAGGCCCCAAACAAGTATAATCCATCAAAAGATAAACATGCTTAGACTACCTAACTAAGGTGTAGCTCATACACATTTACTTAAATGAGAGACTATCAAGTTCTTGACAAAATGATAAAGCACATGGAGTTAGAGATTAAGCATACACCATCAAAGGATTTCCTAAGCAATGGTCTATCAAAGTCACCTATCAACATGCCATGAAACCATTTCATAACCTTGCTTCCACTTTCACCATGAAAAACTCAAGCAATATGATTACTCTAAGACATTATCTAAAGCAAGATAATCAACTTAAAGAAATCATTCATACATGTATCAACATTCATTACAACAAATGAGGTGCTCTTGGTTATGAAAAGACCATAAAATATACATGGCAAATCCCCAAAATAGACTATCCTAGGACATGCTTACAAGGGAGGGACTTCATCACCTCCCTAGAGAAAGAGTTAGTTACCCATTGCTAAGCTAAAAGAAGGAAGAAGCTCCATCTTCATGGCCATTTTCGTGCAACCTTCTTGGAGCTTGAAGAACACACCTCCTTTGCTCCCTTCTCTCCCCTCTAATCTTGTAGAAAATGTAGGATGTCAAATGTGTGGGCTTTGGTTGCCTTTTGTCCTCCAACAAAACCCTCTCTCTCCTCCAAGGAACACCTCCAACCACTTCATAAAGAAGGAAGATGGCATTGAGGAAACCAATGTGCAAGTGGCTGAAATTGAGCCATTTCCGAGTGCAATCTGCCTGATTTTCGAGCACTTTAAATTAGTGTAATGTGCAACATGCTCTTCTTGCTCAGCACTGACCTACTTTGGTAAAACTGCTATAACTTTGTGCCCTAAACTCCGAATGATGATCTGTTTGAAGATTTGGAGAGCTGATTCAGTGCTTTAAAACTTCATGTTTTGATGAAGACCCAATTCTCAAGTCTGGTTGGTCGAAAATGGGGAGAAAGGCAGTACTTCAGTGCTGCCAGGCAGTTCTACGCACCTCTGTTAAGAAGATCATAACTCTCTGGTCCGAACTCCGAATGACGAACCGCTTGAAGATTTGGGAAGCTGATTCAGAGCTCTAAATCTTTCATGTTATGATAAAAGTCCAGTTCTTGAGTTTACTAGGTCAAAAATGGCAACAAAAGTCAGGTTCTACTGTTGCCAGAAATTCAGAATTGGCACCCTTTTTGTTCAAAATTCCACAAGGCATCATTTTTGCTTCCTTTTTGCACTTTAACCTGAAAATGCATAAAAACATGCAAATGGAGTTAATCTACATAAAATAATCAATTAATGGACTTTGTTAATGTAATTTAGGGCGCTTGAATATACAGTATTCAGCGCTTATCAGTACATAACATGAATAACCTTTACTTGAGATGCAATTTATAGTGAATTGTCAAAGCTATCTCACATGCTGCAATGTTAAAGTTTAATTAAGGCCTAAAATAGTTGACAATATTTCTAAACTTTTAAGGACTTGTGTAGAATTTTCGTAACCACCACAACAAGATAGAATACAAGATTCAATACTCGGCTTGTGTCAATCTAACCACAACACCAAGATTCAATACTCAGTAAAGGTATGCTTGTGTTCCAGTCCCCCCCTCCTAGCTTGCCAGGAAAGAGAGAGGAAAAAAAAAAAGAAGAAGGTTCCATACAGTCCTAAGGAAGCAAAAGAAAAAGAAAGGAAAAAGAAAATTACATGATCTAGACAAAGAATGAAGCAATAGTATATGAACTTGAAAGGCCAAGAGAGAAAAGCAACAGCCAAATAGACAACCTAGCTCGTACTTCCCAGGATAAGATCTGATAACAAAAAGAGGTTCCCATGTACAATAACATCATAATAACACAGAAACTCCATCATTTGTTAATTTCCTGTAAATTAAAGTAATGAGTTCTCTCATTTAATGTATATCATTGCCAAAATTTGTTGTAGTTCCTTGTAGATCACACGCACGCTGTTCACACTCCAACTCGCCCCACCGCGCACCAACTCGTTCACAGGGAAATACTAGGGCTACAACTTGGGCGGGTTAACCTAGCCCAACCCGAAAATTTAAAATTTGGACTTTAAGTTTACAAATCGGGTTCATATTCGGGTTGGGTTTTATCAAAACCCAGACATATTCAGGTTGGATTCGGGCTCAACCCGAACCCAACCCAAAAATAAAAAAAATAAAAAATTTCTTTTTTTTTTTTTTTCTCCGTTATCTCTCTCTCTCTCTCTCTCTCTCTCTCTCTCTCTTTTCTTTCTCTCTCTACCATCCCCATACACTCAAGTTAGCAGTTGCAGATAAAGAGAAGGGGGCAAGCTTGAGAGTTGAGAGACAGCGGTTGAAGCTTGCAAACGGCGAACCCGATCTGGAACAGCGGGTGATGAAAACTGAAAGATCTGGGTTTTGATTTGTTGAACGATCTGAAATGGTTGAGAGTTGAGAGACAGCAGTTGAAGCTTTGTGAACGGCGAACTCGATCTGGAACAGCGGGCAATGGAAACTGAAAGATCTGGGTTTTGATTTTTTGCACAATCTGAAATGATATGCCGATATGGGTTTTGAACTTTTGATTGTTGCAGACAGATAGATGAAACTGAAATACATGGGCTTTGAAGTTCTGATTCTTATAGATTTTGCAGTTTGCAGTTGTTGCACAGAGAGAGAGAGGGGGGGGAGGCAAGTTCAAAGAGAGGTGAGAGAGAGGCGATTGTTGAGGCTAAAATGATTTGCCTTAAATAAAAAAAAAATATATATATATATATATATAATTTGTTTTTAATAATAATATAATCAATTATATATATATATATATGTATATATAAATTTCTAAAAAAAAAAAAATTAAAAAAAGTTTTCAACCCGTTAACCCTACCCAACCTGTCCAAAAATATTCGGACTGGGTTATTATCATAACCCATGTTGAGTACAATTTGGGTTGGCCCAACCCATCCCGATTTGGGTTGAGGTTGGGTTGGGACTGGGCTGGGTTGGGCCAACCCAACTTGCAGCCCTAGGAAATACCAGCTTATCGAGGTTGTTGAAACAAGAGCAAACCAGAAATCAACATTAACAAAACTTCACAAGCTTCCTGATTTGAAGAGACTAATTTTATTAAAATTATCGCCCTAGCTCAGCTTGGCCATTGAGTTCCAGAAAAACTACGCAAATTTAACTGGTTAAACAGAGAACAAGCCCCATGGTTTTGCCAGACTCCTACTAATCAGTCATGTAAAATCCGGCGGCACAACCTAGTCCAAAGCATGCAACCTCTAAAAGGCATCTACTAACTAAACAGTTTAAATTTGTCCAGTTAACTGGTCTTATTACCATGCAAGAGCTAAAGAGCATTAATGATTCACCATTCTTTATCAATCAAATCTTATCTTTTTCAATTTGTATGTTCAAAACAACAATATGATACTGGTAGATTTTGTTTGAGAACAACATTTGTTACCTTCTGTTAACAACATTGTGTACATGGCATAACCATTGGGAAAACTCAGCCTGAAATCGAGCCTGTACAGGATTTGATCTGTCAAATATATACACAAAAATACAGTCACACTCAGAAGTTTTATCAATTCAAACATTTGGAAACCAATTAAAAATAGCATGATTCAGCCATTCTTCTTGGAATTTTGAAGGCACAAAATATCCCACACTGAAGCATTTAAAATAAAATGAAGAACAGCTAAAATGATGAGAAGATCTTAAATGACAACTTTTTTCTTAAAATTCTAAAATGATCCTACACATGCTACAAAGACGTGAAAAAGCCATATAAGGAAAAAAAACAAAATGTCTTAGATATTGCATAAAAATAAAATAAAAGCAATGCCAATCAACTCCAGTCCTTTTGCGTCAGTTTCACTTACATTTTGGAATAATTTCATTCGAAAAGAATAATTGTTGTTTCAAGGGAGAGGGAAAAGGGAAAGAATGGATTCCTTTCCACGAGCCATTTAAACCACCATTGGCCTTTTATTTTGCTCATATGCAAAGCAAAGCCTAGTCAAAATGGATGTTTGGATTTGGACTGATGTCTTGGTGTTACGGGGTTGGGACCTTGACAAGCCCCTTGACAGCCATGGGATGCTATCAGCGTGCACTGGGGGTGCCCAGCGGCATTTTCGTAAATATGGAGAAAAAGTGAAGTTTGGAGTTTTGACTCAGGATCTTTATAGGAGGTACCTTGAATCCATGCAAGATGGTTGGCGTAGACGGCACTCGATTTAGATGACGGGAAGGGTCTGAAAGGCCATTATAACTCATCAAGCATAGATGATGTCTACTCCTGTCAGAGTGCTGATTTTCCTTAGAACTATACTAAGGAGGGGTCTGTTGAGCACATCAGTTGGGCTATGGCATGGCTTGCTTAGAGGGCTTAGCCAACGTGCATGGGCACGTGTTGCACCACTCCAAGATGGTTGCACAAGAGGGGAGCATCCAAACTATTGAAAGGCAAACAAGTGAGCACGGGCGCGCGGGCAGGCATCCAGTCCGGTGTGCGCGCGGGCGTGCAGCCGCGTACACACGAACATTCGGGCATGGCACGCGCAAATGAGCACCAGCGTGCGCACCGGTGTGTAGCAGCGCACTTATGGGTGTGCACTCGGGCGTACACTTGGGTGTGCACACGGCCGTGCATGGCTTGGCACGCCGTGCACTCAGTGACATTTATATGTGGGTGTAGATTAGTGGGCTTGGCACGGGCTAAGTTCACCAGGTTGGCTCAGATGTTGCTTAAAGCATGGACAACACAAGTTATGGCTAAGTGGGCTCAGTTGGTTGGGGGAAGTTACCTATTGATCGGTTGGTCAATTAAACATCAACCTTCGCAATAGCACGAATCATTGTAAAATAGGACTATTGGTCGGGTAAGTCGAACCACTGGGACTGCGCTAGTCTATGGCAACCTAAGTGTCTAGAATTGTTCTTAGAATGATAAGGGGTAATAAGGGTTTGTTTGATGGTCACTAAACTAGGAATTCAAAGTGCATAAAACAATAGTGTGCTAGGAAGTAAAGAGATAGAACAATAGAGAAAAGACTAGGGAATTGACTTCACCACAATCCATATAAACATGCCTAATTGCAATTAACTTGGGGAACAAAGTATACATGCAACCATGATATGTAGAAATGCAAGATAACTACAATATCTTCAACAAGTTCACACATTCAAGAATTAAGTATAATCTATCCAAGGTTGGCATAAGTCATCTATCTAAACTATGGTATAGAATGAAGTATCCTTCCTAAGCTATGAACTATCAAAGTCCTCAATTTGTGTGGTAAGTGCACATGAAGTCTAGAACTAAGCCATAATCCATCAAAGGTTTCCCTAAGCCATGGAATATCAAATTTCTTAAACAACATGCCATTAAAACCATTGTATAATCTCATCTTCATTCTCACTATAAAGATGTAAGTAGCATAATCATGAAGAAACAATTTCTAAGACAAGATAAGAGTCTCTACAAGATTAAATATGGAATGAAACACAAATACATCAAAGTGTATCTCTAGATTAGACAACTTGTTACATAAATGCAAAGTTCCCCAAATATAAACACAATTAATACATATTTACTTGACAAGGGTTACATCAACTCCCTAAGAAGAGGTTTAGTTACCCATGGTAGCTCTAGATGAAGGAGGAAGCAAGGCATCCAACTCCATTTTCGTGCTCCCTTGTGTTGGCTTGAAAAACTCCTCTTTCTTGCTCTCTTCTCTCTCCTCTATCTTCCCAAAATGAAGCTTTCTCATATTGTGTGGCTCATATCCCTCTTATCTACCACCAAAAGGCCACTAACCAACATCTCCAACCACTTCATTAAAGAGGAAAGCAAAATGAAGAAACCAAGGTGCAAGTGGGCTGAAATGAGCCATTTCCGAAGAGCATTCTGCCCAAAATTCGAGCACTCTAAGCAAGGCCTCGAGCACTCGAATTTAGTGTAAAAAGCTCCATGCTTCACTTGCTTCGCCCAGACCTACTTTGGTTAAACGGCCATAACTCTCTGCTCCGAGCTCCGAATGACAAACCGTTTGAAGATTTGGAAAGTTGATTCAGAGCTCTAAATCTTTCATGTTATAAGGGAAGTCCAGTTCTCGAGTTTGGAAGGTCAAAATGGCGAGCAAAGTCCAGGTTCTACTGCTGCCGGAATTCAGCATTGGCACCTTTTGTTGCTCAAGATTCCACAAGGCCTTATTCTTGTTCCATTTTGGCCAATGAACCTGAAAATGCATAAAAACATAGAAATGAAGATAATCTACATAAATTAACATACAACGGACTTTACTAATGCAATTTAGGGCGCTTGAATATATAATATTCGGCGCTTATCACCTATGGTTACAGAAGATGGCTAAGTGGGCTCAGTTGGTTGGGGGAAGTTACTAATGGTTTTGAGAGTTTGCCTATATATTGCTAACGTGGGTTCTGTGGAAGGAGCAGATTGAGAGTGAGACACAAAGTTGTGTTATGAGAAACTCTTGTATGCTTCTGCAGGTTGAGGCCTTTCCTTGTATTATTTTGTGAATAATAGTAAAAGGTTGGAAGCCTTGTGCTTCTGTAAAATTCGTGGGTATTATTGTCCTTACATTCTTGCAACTATACTTGTGTGTGAGAGTGTTTTACTTGCTGTGTGTTCTAGGCAGCAAGTATGAGTTGGCTGAGCTAAGTTAGAAATTTAGAGAAAAGTTGTTTATATTTCTGGCTTAGTGCCATCATAGGCTACTAGATTCGTGTTCCGAATTTACCCCTGTGACAGTTGGTATTAGAGCCCAGAGTTAGGTTCATTATGGCTGGTGGTAATACTACAGAAGCTCTCAGAGATCGTGTAACTTGTTTGGAGGCCTTGGTGGGTGCTCCACAATCTGACAATGCTGCTGCCTTGACGGAGCAGATGGAATTGTTTGTAGTTGAGTTACAGACAATACGATCAATGCTTGAAGAGTTTGTGGGGGAGACAAACTCGAAGATGCAGATTATGACGGATGATGTGATGTCCATGAAAAACCTCTTCAAAGAACATGTGAAGGATTTAGAGGGTGAGGTGGCTCTGTTGAAGAGGGTCATGCACAATCAGACTGTTGTGGGTAAGAAGCCATCATCTTCCAAAATCAAAATTCCAGAACCAAAGTCATTCAGGGGCTAGAGGAGTGCCAAAGATCTGGAGAATTTCTTGTGGGATATGGAGCAATATTTTCGAGCAGCCCACATTCCAGATAATGACAAGGTAACTATTACCAGTATGTATTTGTCTGGTGATGCTAAATTGTGGTGGCGGACTCGGGTGGAGGACGAGTTACGCCCCAAAATTACAGTATTTGCAAAGCTAAGGAAAGAACTGAATGAGTAGTTTCTTCCAGCAAATTCTAGCTGGGTGGCTCGGGAGTTATTGTGGAGACTCAAGCATACGAGTACAGTGCGTGAATATGTGAAAGAGTTCACATCTTTGATGATGGATATCAAAGATATGTCCGAGGGGGATAAATTATTTAATTTCATGGCAGGCTTGCAATCATGGGCACAAATCGAGTTAAGGAGAAGTGGAGTGATCGACCTCTCTTCTGCTATAGTTGCAGCAGACAGCCTAGTAGATTTGTGGATTGAAAAGTCTGACTCTACTACCGCCAGCAAACTGAAGAAGAAGGGCAAGTTCGGTGACAAGCCCAAGAGGTATGGTGTTGCTAAGGAAGAGAAAGACAAAGGTAAGTCAGAGGCGACGTTCATCCAGCAGAGGCAAAAGCTGGATAGTGGTTGCTTCATCTGTAAGGGTCCACACAGGGCGAGGGACTATCCTAAGAAGGAAAAGGTAAATGTTATGGTTGCTGAAGAAGCCAATGGAGGAGATTCCGACTCAGATAAGGGTAATGTTTGGGTCAATCCTCTTGTCATACAGTCATGATACATGCAGGTGGGCGTGTGGCTTCGGGGAAGGCTATGTAGAGATGCTCACGGAGTTATTGCCAAGGTTGGTAATGGTGAATTCCCTCTTTATTTGTTTTTCTGATTTGGGTTGCTAGTTGTGAGGACAGAATCCAAAGGTGTTCAGAATTCATGTCATGAATCGAAGCGGAGGTTGGGGTTTATGGCATTATTCAAGTGTAGCAGTGGAGTTGTTGCAGTGTTAATATTCAACATTCGGGTTGGTCGGGGCCAACATGTTAAGTTGCAGGCAAAGACTTGTGACACTTTGTGATTACTTCAACGAGGACGTTGAAATTCTTAAGTGGGGGAGGTTTGTTACGGGGTTGGGACCTTAACAAGCCCCCTGACAGCCATGGGATGCTGTCAGCTTGCACTAGGGGTGCCCAATGGCATTTTCATTAATATGGCCAAAAAGTGAAGTTTGGAGTTTTGACTCGGGACCTTTATGGGAGTTACCTTGAGTCCATAGAAGATGGTTGGCGTAGACGACACTCGATTTGGATGTCGGGAAGGGTCTGAAAGGCCATTATGACTCCTCAAGCATAGGTGATGTCTACTCCTGTCAGAGTGCTGAATTTCCTTAGAACTATACTAAGGAGGGGTCTGTTAAGCACATCAGTTGGGCTATGGCATGGCTTGCTTAGAGGGCTTAGCCAACGTGCATGGGCACGTGTTGCACCATTCCAAGATGGTTGCACAAAATAGGAGCTTCCAAATTACTGAAAGACAAACAAGTGAGCACAGGCGCGCGGGCAGGCGTCCAGTCCAATGTGCGTACAGGCGTGCAGCTGTGTGCACACGGGCTTTCAGGCATGGTGCGCGTAAATGAGCACCAGTGTACGCACTGGTGTGTAGCAGTGCACTTATGGGTGTGCACTTAGGCGTACACTTGGGTGTGCACACGGGCTTGCATGGCTTGGCACGCCGTGCACTCAGTGACATTTATATGTGGGTGCAGATTAGTGGGCTTGGCACGGGCTAGGTTCACCAGGTTGGTTCAGATGTTGCTTAAAGCATCGACAACATAAGTCATGGCTAAGTGGGCTTAGTTGGTTGGGGGAAGTTACTTATGGTTTTGAGAATTTGCCTACGTGGGTTCTGTGGAGAGAGCAGATTAAGAGTGAGACATAAAGTTGTGTTGTGAGAGACTCTTGTATGCTTCTGCAGGTTGAGGCCTTTCCTTGTACTGTTTTGTGAATAATAGTAAAAGGTTGGAAGCCTTGTGCTTTTGTAAAACTCGTGGGTGTTCTTGTCCTTACATTCTTGCAACTATACTTGTGTGTGAGAGTGTTTTACTTACTGTGTGTTCCAGGCAGCAAGTGTGAGTTGGCTGAGCTAAGTTATAAATTCAGAGAAAAGTTGTTGATATTTTTGGCTTAGTGCCATCACAGGCTACTAGATTCGTGTTTCGAATTTACCCCTGTGACACTTGGCATAGTAAGGGTGGGCCTTGGTGTAATGGTAAGGTTGCTCCATTGTGACCGAGAGGTTACGAGTTTGAATCATGGAAATAGCCACTCCGCATGCCAAGACATCAGTTTCCCAGACCCGCAATGGTGGGAGCCTTGTGCATTGGGCTAGCCCTTTATGTCATGGCATAGTGGTAATTTAGGATCAATATGGACAATAACATCGGGGTTCAAATCCTATCACCTATCAGAAAAAGGAAGGAGAAAAGTATTGTTGATGTAAACACAAAATCCAAGCTGCCATTAGATAGTAGACACTAAAAAATCCTATTGCTAAGCAATAATAGTTTTCTGATATAGCACCCAAACTAGAAAGGCTTGCAAGAAGGAAAAAAAACAATATACTCAACATTAAAACATACTAATTGTTCCGATGTAAATAAACATGTAATTTCAAATCTAAAGAATTTAGACTTACAACTAAAAACAATAAGAATTCATAGGGAATGAAGTATATTATATACCTTAGAACTTCTTTAAAATGATCAGCACATTCCTTGCACAGGTACATCTGAGATAATATTGACATCTGCATGCTAAGAATATGTCAATGGCTTTAATAGCCAGTAAGTACAAAATATTCTCTCTTTGAAACACGCGCACATAATGGAAGCTTTTATTTAAATTCATTTATTTCCTTCAAATGAATAAAAACAATGTTCAAACATGATTCAAAACAAAAAGAACAATTACAACTTGAAACATACATGTGCAAATCAAATGAGTCGGTGAGCTGAGGGGTCATCCCTAGAGCAAACCAAGGAATACAATTCTCAACCTGAGACTGAACCCAACATTGCCACCAACCCAAATAGGCTAACCTAAGCCTGACCTAGCACCTTTTCCTTTTAAGTCGGGTAAAGCTCTGATTGGTCCGGTTGCACTAAAAAATAAAAAATAAATTAAAATTTTAAAAAATCATGGCTAATACACCAAGCTGAAAACATTACTACAAACATTCCAATAATCTAAATACAACTAAATATTTAAGAAACTATATGTAATAATAGCATTGATAATAAAGGTCAGGCCTGGGTTCCTCTACCCAAACCTAACCCGAATAGAGCGGTTAAAAGAATTTCAACTCAAGCCCAATCGGACAACAACAAAATACTCCCAAGCCAGGCCGAAAACAGGATCAGAATTGGGTTACACAGGATAAGTTCCCACCCTATTTAAACAGGATGAATCTGGTGCTTATATCATGAAATCTGAACTTGCATCCATAGGCATACTGAAATTAAGTTCTAATTCAAATCTGATGACTATCACGACTCTTAAACAACAACTTTCTAGTTTAAGTTGAATTAGGAATTCAAGTGTTCAAATTGAATTTTAAAAAGATATTATATTTTATAACTTAATTTACTTCTATTCAAATTGTGAATTCTTTCTCATATATTATAGACAAAATGTTAGATTATACATCTTATACTCAATGATGTACTCAATGTACCTTGTACAACACTATTGTATTGTATTTTACTACTGTTCTACCTTACCTACCACCTATGAGTTCATGCCTATAAATAGGCCTTTTATGTGTAGTTCTCAATAAAATTGAATATACATTACTTCCATTATGTCCATCATGGTATCAGAACTAAGGTTTTAAAACCTTTTTGTTCTCTTTTCTTTTCGGGGTCCTTTTCTAGCCATTCGGTGCCACCAGCAGTGACACTCCCTAGGGGTGTCTCATTGCTATTCAAGCACTATCCCTATTCAGAATTAGGTTTTCCATCCTTTCGAGTTTCAGACCATATCACTCGAAAGAACTGAAGTCGATTGTCAAAATCCAGCAAGAAACACCCCAAAAAGCCCTTCAAGGAGCCCTCACACACGGCCGGAAGGTTCTACTAGTTTGCCTATGCACCAACACGGCTTCATGCGCCACTTGTCTCTGTCACGCCCCCACGCGGAATCACGCTCGGACCCTCTGGTCACCACATCAGCTATACAGTCTGATTTGTCACCACGTCAGTAGACATATCAACCTACTGCCATGTTAGTACTTTCCCACATGAGCCAGAAGTCCAACTTTTCTGACACATCAGCCAGAAGCCAAACTTTTTTGACATGTTAGCATAGTGCTACGTCATCTGCCACACCAGCATACTACCATCAAGAAGCCTGCTTGTCGCCATGTCATCTAACACATCAGCATCCTACCTACCATGTCAAATAGTTTACCAGGTGTTTCCTACTCAATTTTTTGCACCGAATTCAAATTTTTAGACCCTTTTTGCATTTGACATCTCCAAATGACACAAAACAAGGCCGCTAATCCTATTCAAGGTGTTCTTAATAAGACAATACTTTTTTTGGAGCCAATCAATGCGTAGCTTCCTCAAGGGTACACCATGGTCTTCGCCACACACCAGTTCATTACAAGGATGAAAATGCAAATGCCTATATTTCACGTGTCTAGGATTAGGATAGGAACAAGAATACCCACAAAATAATCTCCTGGTGACACAACACAATGAATCCATCGATTGGCATGGAATTTGGGAGTTCTGACTTATGACATTACCAAGGAAGTCTAGGTAATGTTTGATTTTCGATACTCTGGCTCCGATGGTTCTCAACAAGACTAGCTTATAGTCTACTTCTACAATCTCAAGCAAGAATCCGGTTAGCGTATTAACGAGTTATTTGTTCGTATAAAATTTCTATAGGATAAGTTTGCTCTTTTAGAACCATCATGGGAACATCCTTCTGAGGCCAATTTATTTATTTATTTATTTTTTCCCGTATCGTAATCAACTTCAACTTCACCAATTGGTGATGGGTCTTTATGGAGATTTTGAGCTTGTACGCAATCAACTTCTTCATCGGTCTCCTTTGCCCTCACTTGATCAAGTAGTCAATGAACTTGTACGACGTACAAACTCTCTTGATAATGGGAGTGCAATTTAGATTGCATATAACGACGTATTTCATGAGCACACCAAACACATTGAAATTGATTGTCACTTTATTGGACTATCATCTTCTAATTGATTGTGGTACTCACTGTACTTGTACTACACTATTACATTATTTCTATCAAGGATAGAAATAATGTATATTCAATTATATTGAGAGCAATACATTACAGGTCTATTTATAGGCATGAAACCCTCGGTGGTAAGTAAGGTAGTACAATAAAAAAAGTAAGGTAGTACAGTAGTACATTACTATACAATAATGTAGTACAAGGTACAATGAATGCAACATCTGCAATCTAACATAAAGCATATAAAATTACCATATAGTAAGTCTAATCAATTTTGGATCCTAATTATATTGTAGTAACTAAACTTATGTCCAATCAGAATTCAAAGAACTAATTAACCTGATTCAATTTCATCATAGGATCTTAATTTGGTTGAATTTGGATCTTCATCCATCTGTTTACTACCCTATTTGGAATCGAAGAGTAAAATTTGGGAAAATAAGGATAAAATAACACATTCAAACAATATAGCCAAAACCAAATGAAGTTTGCCCCCAGAAGAAGAGAATGTTTTGTACAAGCAACATGAGAGCCCCAAAAACCAATCGGCCCTCCCACCGGAATCCCCAGCCTAACCACCTTAAACCTCCATTTCTACTGACCACCAAGCACTCCCACAACCTTGATAACCTTGATAACCACATTATTCCACAACCCCAACATCTAGTTTCAATTCTTAAAAAAGTCTCTCGTCATAATGCAGTCCAACATCACAGACCCACACAACCTCACCCACAAACTAGCTCAACCAAAATTCCTTTACAAGTACCATTCTCTCTCACCACAATATGCAAACCACAACCAACAAATCCACCTAAAGCTCAAAAGAAAGTTTCTTTCTCATCCACCACAAAATGCAAACCTCAACTAAAGTTCACTGATGACCACAACCATATTATAGATGACATTGATCCAGATAACACCCAGTCATTGATTGATGAAATTTTTAGGCTTCGTGTTGAACTCATGGAATTCAAAAGCAACTACAGGTACAAGTACCTTCTTGAGGAAGTGGACTGGCTCAGAGGTATCATCAGAGATGGGCTGAAGAATCAAGCTTCGCTAAGAGCCAGAGTCAATGATTTTAGTGATCAAATCATTGCTACTAACCATCTTCACTCTATTGATCTTTACCCTCATGTCACTGATAATTCAACTGTTAATGCAAATGCAAGTGGTAATGGCTCACATCTTGAAGGAGATCAACAGCACACAATAGTTAACAATTCACGCCAGAGTTCCTCATCTCATCTCCACCATTCCTGTCACATCAACCACCATGCTGCTCCACTAGGTTTAAATTTGAATTTGAATTCAAAAGCATCCTCATCAGGTAATGTCTCTGAACACTTCTCTACTCTTCAAAAATTTGTAACATCTGATGACCTCAGGGCCACTCCCACCCACGAGGTATGTCCACACACAACATCATCTCCTACTTTGGGTAGAAGGACTGACACTACCCCCACAATTTGTCAACCTCCTCACTGCAACCTACCTAATCCAACACCTACTACCTTTGTAGACCCACATGGTGCTACTCCCCTTAGCCTTCATCTCAAACCATCATGGGTTGAGGTTACCATGTGACAATCCAGATTACCACTGGACAATCTACAACACACTTCCAGCTGATGGCATTATTGTTCCACCCCATGACATTGAAACTGTGGGCCTTTCCCATCTCAAAATAAGTATACTTGGATATTTTGTCCATAAAGCACTTCCCTTTGGGATGGTCAAAGATATCTCTCACTTTCTGTGGTCAGAGAGAAGTCTCCTTAAAGTTACCAGCTCAGAGAAAGGCCTGTTTGAATTTCACTTTTCCTCAATTGACCAATGCACTGCAGTACTATCTGAGGGACCTTGGTTTATGGCTAACAGGCCTATTTTTCTTTACCAATGGGAGCCACATTTCCAAAAATCTAAGCACACCTCTATTCCCATTTGGATCAAGCTGTATGGATTGCCTCTACACTACTGGACCAAGCAAGGACTTAGCTATATATCTGGCTTTATTGGAGCTCCCCTCTTTGCTGATCCTATCACAGAAAAGAAGCATTAACCAGATTTGCTAAGGTGTGTGTCGAGATTGATGCATCTTCAGACCTACCCTCTTTACTTAAAGTGCACCAGAGCTCGGGGAAGGTTACCAATGTCATTGTTGATTACCTTAACAAACCAGTGATTTGCTACAAATGCAAGTGCTTTGGTCACTCAGCTAAAACCTATTACTCTTCACTCCCCCCAACCAAAAACCTTCAACCTTCAGCTGAATGGAAGGTTGTTCCTTTTAAGAAACACACCACATCTACTCATCCACATACCTCCAATGTGAATAACATCCCCCTCACTGAACAAACTTCCTCTTCCCACACCACCATTGCCTTACAACCAGGTCAAAACATCATCACACATTATTTTAAACCTGTTGAGGCTCTCAAAGTTGATCTGAGTTCCTACAACCCCATAAACTTAACCCCTGATTTTGTCCTATGCTCCATCATTGGAAATGATGTTTCTCCTCCAACAACCACAGTGCTTGAGAAGCAACCACCACCTTTGGAGGATGACTGCACAAGTTTATCAGAAAATGAATGAACCAACAGCATGCCAGCAACTTTGGGTAAAGGCAAAGCCAAGAAGGAGAGCTCTAATAAGAGGAAGCAATCAAGGAAAATCATTCACCTCATGGGGAATTTATTCCCAAAAGGGAAACCTTTTAAGACAGTCAAATGGTTGTAATTGGCATATGGAATATCAGGGGCTTGAACAGCTCCCTGAAGCAAGATGAAGTTAAGCTTCTATTAACTGAGAATAGAGCAGATATTGCTGCAATTGTTGAGACAAAAGTCCAACCCTATAATTCAAATAGAATTCACAAAATAATTGCAAAAAACTGGAAGCTTGCACACAATTATAGCCATTCACCACTGGGAAGGATATGGATCCTATGGAATCCTAGAGCAGTTGATCTGCAAATTTTACAATGCTCAAGACAAGCCATCCATTGCCATGCCACTATCCTAAGCTGCAGATCCACCTTTTACATCATATTTGTATATGCTGCTAATGAAGCCATAGAAAGGGAAATGTTATGGAATAACATTATTCAGCAAGCTTTGGCCATCTCCTCAGCCCCTTGGATCCTTGGGGGGGATTTCAATATTATTAAGTCTCCAATGGAAGATCATGGTGGCAAAGGCAAGCTCTCCAAACCTATGATGGACTTCAGGAAGTGCCTTCACACTGCAAATTTTAAGGATCTCAACTTCTCAGGGGTGCTTCATTCTTGGTCAAATAGAAGCCCTGGGATCACAAACATTGTAAGGAAACTAGACAGAGTTCTTATTAATGATTCTTGGAACAACATTTTCCCCTTATCTCACTGCAGCTTCCTTACCCAAGGTATCTCGGATCATAGCCTAATGATCATTAACCTTGGTAATCCAAAACCACAGAGAAGAGTCCCATTCAGATACTTCAATAGTTGGAGTGATCATGATGATTTCTTATCCCTGGTGCAATCCCATTGGAATACTCACATTGCAGTCCATATTATGTTTCAAGTGGTTTCAAAACTGAAAAACCTCAAGCAGCCTTTGAAATCCAAATTTGAAAAGCCTCTAAGTACCCTTCAGGATGAAATTTAGAATGTTAAAGCTTCTCTCTCTTCATGTCAATTGGCTCTTGACTCAGCACCTGACAATCTGGCATTGAGGACACAAGAAAAGTATCTCCTCCATTCCCTCACATCACTTATGCTCAATGAGGAGAAGAACTGCAGGCAAAAATCAAAAATCCAATGGCTCAAATTTGATGACTTAAACACTTCTTACTTCTACAAATCTATTGCATCCAGAAGCAACAGAAACAAAATTACATCCATTACTTCCTCAGATGGTATCCTACTTAACACAAAAGCAGCCATTAAGAATGAAATTGTTTCTTTCTTTCATCAATGCCTTGGGATGAACCCCCACCCCCACCCTAGAATTGAAGCAACTGCAGACCCTCATCCAGCCTGTTGTATCTAATTCCTTTATTGAATCATTGTGTTCAATCCCTACAAACCCTAAAATTAGGCGATGCCTTTTCTCCCTCAGCAGTGACAAGGCTCCAGGACCTGATGGTTATAATGCACACTTCTTCAAAAAAGCTTGGTCAGTTATTGGTCAGGATGTTACAAGGGCAATTAGAGATTTCTTCACAACTGGGAAGCTACTCAGAGAGGTTAACTCCACCTATATCTCCCTTGTCTCAAAAGTGCCTAACCCTTCCACTATCAGTGAGTTTAGACCAATCTCATGATGCTCTACTATTTACAAATGCATTTCAAAGCTACTTGCTAACAAGCTTAAACCAACCCTATCCTCAACCATAGACCAAGCACAATCAGCCTTTATTCAGGGTAGGCAAGTTGATAATAATATCCTGCTTGCACAGGAGCTCCTTAATGGATACCACAGGCACAACAACTCTCCTAGATGCTCACTGAAGATTGACCTCAAGAAGGCATTTGACTCAGTGTCTTAGGATTTCTTTCTCAAATCTATGAAATTGATGGGTTATCCAGACATTTTTATCAATTGGATCCAAACCTGTGTCACCACTCCATCATTTACTATTTCCATTAATGGTGAATTTAATGGATTTTTTAAATGTGTTAAGGGGTTGAGACAAGGAGACCCCTTGTCACCCTTTTTGTTTGTTCTTGTGATGCAGGTTTTCTCACTGATTTTGAACAAGCTCACAGATGAAATGCCATATAAATTCCATTGGAGATGTAAAAAGCTGAAGCTCACTCACCTGATATTTGCAGATGACCTTATGTTATTATCTCATGCTAGCATTCCATGTATTCAAACCCTCAAGTATGTTCTGGATACATTCACAGCTCTCTCTGGGCTCCACATCAACCTCTCTAAGGGTCAATGCTTCTTCACTGGAATTAATGAATAGCTAGAGGCCAACATACTGTCTCTCCTTGGGTTTGAGAATTGCTTCCTTTGAGATACCTTGATGTTCCTTTGACTACAACTATGTTGAGAGCAAGTGACTGCAGATCCCTTATTGACAAAATTAATCTCAGGATTACTCATTGGTCTAGCAAAGACCTCTCCTTTGCTGGAAGATTGCAGCTTATCAAAGCAGTCTTATTCTTAACTCAAGTTTATTGGTGCTCCAAATTCATCCTTCCAATGGCCATAATTCATGAAATGGATTGCTTGTTTCGATTCTTCCTTTGGTATGGACCCTCCCTCAAGAAATCAGGCTGCAAAGTTGCTTGGGAGCATTGTTGTCTTCCTAAGAAGGCTGGAGGGTTTGGCATTCCTAATCTTACAATGTGGAATGAGGTTGCAGTTATGAAGCATTTCTGGCACATTATTAACTCCAAGCAAATGTTATTGGTCAAATGGATTGATCTCTACTTGCTCAAAGGGAAGAGTATTTGGGAAATCAGCACTCCTGGACAATGCTCTTGGAGTTGGAAAAGACTTCTTGGCCTAAGTTCATCTATCAAGCCTCTTGTCAAGGTTGAAATTGGTAATGGAACCTCTACCAATTTTTGGTTTGACAATTGGTGCAACCTAGGTCCACTCCACCTTCTCCTCACTCCACAACAATTAATTGATACTGGCCTTGACACCAAAACCAAGCTGAGCTCATTCATTATCAACTCCACATGGATGTTCCCACCTACCATCACAAACTTATTTCCAAATCTGTTACAGGCCAACAATACCCCCTTGCCATGTCCAGAGAACTGTGATAAAGTCAAATGGATTCCATCACCAAATGGAAAGTTCTCAATTGGCCACACACTCAACCATTTTAACAAACACTTACCAAGCATTCCATGGACTCACTTAGTCTGGTCTAACAATTCTATCCCCGAGCTCTCTTTTACACTATGGGTTGCTATTCAAATGAGACTGCCTATACTGAATAGAAGGTGCACATCACACATCAGTGCCACTTCTTGCTTTTACACTATGGTTGCTATTCAAATGAGACTGCCTATACTGAATAAAAGGTGCACATCACACATCAGTGCCACTTCTTGTACCTTATGTAACTCATCTGAGTTAGAAACCCATGACCACTTATTCTTCAAGTGTGATTTCACAAGACCACTGTGGTTATTCATTCAAGCAAAATGTGGTTTCTATATCAATCCATCATCTTGGCAAAATCTTATTCTCCGGGCATCTCATCACTGGAAATCCAACTTTGGTGTCCATTGCAGCTCAATTACAAAACTTGCACTGGCGTCTCTTGTGTATAACATTTGGATAGAGCGTAATCGAATGATATTCAAGAAGTCATCCTTGTCCCAAAATGCCCTGCTCCAGCAAGTCATTGATTTGATTAGGCTGAAGCTCATGTCCTCAAAATTTGCAGACTCTCCAGCCTCCAGGCGTATAACTGAAGAATGAGAACTCTCTACTTCTGTTATTCGACCACTGGCAAAGCCTCCAGACAATCGCTAACCATGGAAGAGTGAATCTTCACCTTGCCACAGCTTAGTATTGCATCCTGATTCAGATAACTGGCATTCTGTTGCTCCATAAGGGCTTGGGTAACATTTGGGCTATTTGTTATATGTTTAGGTTGCTTGGGACTATCAATATTTGGGCCTGGCATCTGGGCTTTGTTTGTTTAGTTAGCCTAGGCTAACTGTGTATTGCTCTTTGGTTTTATCAATATAATCTTACTTACCTTTCAAAAAAAAAAAAAAAGAGGAGAATGTTTTGGTTGACGTAGAACAAAACCAGAAAATATGGAAATTAAATATAGGGTTTGCTTATGTTGAGTTTGGTCTGATGAATGACAGCCTATTCTACTCCTAAAATTGGACATGGTTTGGACCTCACCTAGCAGAAACTGCATGTATGCCTAAAGATCCTAACTATAATCCTCTTAAATGTTTCCTCATTATCATCACAATTAATGCTAGTCTTTTTCCAACAAATTAGATTCAGCATTACCTGTTTCATGAATTTACTAAAAATTATATTTAATAATATTAGTTCTTCTAAAAAATATTTCCACCACTCTATCCAGAACCTGGGTTGTCCTTCCCTTGTCCTTTTGGACATTCAAGTCAGCCCAATTGAATCCTTCTAAAGTTACACCATGTCTTAATCACATGTATGCTCAGTTTACTCATCGCATAGCTATGACATGTTCTCTCAAAAGAGAGTACTCCTAGATTTAATCTAAATTTGACATCGTTAAATGATAAAAATTGTAAAATCGTCATTTTAGCAAATGTTTTTTTAGTGCATCTTGCCACAGTTTACCACAACCGAACAATTTTTGGTAATATGCATTGAAAAAACTGAAAATGTGGTTTTAATATATCAAGCTAAAAAACCCATCTAAAGTACAATAAAACATGCAAAGATGGAGGGTGAAGGAGTATCGTACCAGCTCTTTTACATCCTTCTTTTGTTGTCTAGTTAGATTATTTGGATACTGCAAAGATCAAGAGCCATTTGAAAATTTCAAATATATTTTAAATGTCAAGAACATGTCACATAACATAGATAAAACATTGGAAATCAATTGCATGAAAGGGATTGAAGTTATAATTTTAACTCACCATATTGTCACGCCCCGCCTATGGAGGTTGTGCCCCGCAGGCGACACGCAAACGCTGAGGAAGACGCTGCATGGCGAATGGAGTTTCTAGAGTCTTCTGGAGTTGTCTAGAGTTGTGTGGAAGATTCTAGATATGTGTAGTATATTCTAGAGTTCTCCAGAATTGTGTGGAGTAGTATGGAGAGTTCTAGAATGTTGTAGATACCAGTAGATAAGTATGGAAATGTGAAGAAGGTGGGAAAAGATTCTAGAGAATCGATCTCCACTGTTGGTTAGAATGCATCCTAGCCATCCATTAGGGATGGGGATGCCTATAAATAAGAGTAAGACTTCATTTTGTAGCCAACAAGTCCTAGAGTGAGTTTTAAGAGCCTTGTAGAGAGTTTGAGTGCTAGCCTTGTACAAAGCATTCTTTGAAGTAATAGAAGTGTTCTTTCCTTGCCAACTTAAGTGCCTTAGTGTGTGTGAGTATACAAGCCAAGTGAGGAGAAGTGAGGGCACTACAACACTAGTCAGCGCATGAGGGGAGTGTGTTGGCTAAGGTGTGCACGGGAATTAGGCTGACCAAGCACTTGCAAAAGTAGAAGCAACGTCTTGGTGCCGCACGGGAATAGCTAGAGTGGTGCTGAAACTCTAAGCCCGTGACAATATGCTCACGAACGAATATAAAATCAATTAAGATTATATTTTTAACATAAAAATTCTAATAATATATATATATATATATATATATATATATATATTTGTCTTTTCCTAGCACCGTATGTGGGGGCAGACACTGGGTAATGCACTTTCTATTTCAACTTTTTTTTTCCTTTTCTTTTCTCTTCAAGTAAATATCATATGACAATATAATACTGACGGTGCCAAAGCAAGAAACCCTAGTTTAAAACATTTCTAGTACAAGAGGAAAACTCATTGTAACATATAAGACACGTTGAAATTGATTGTCACTTTAATCTTGTTCCACTGACATCCAAACATTGAAGTCAAGTTCTTTTAAACCAAGGGCAATCAAAGTATCTATTAACTGATAGGACAAATAATATAAGCTCTGGAAGGCCAAAACAAGGGCCGTGAACATGGGTAGTTAAGAGGTTTTTATGTCTAGACAAGTGTGTTTCTGGTGGTTCTTGGTTGATAGGTTCTTCTAATTCCAAACCATTTTTTTTTTAAGTAAAAATATATTAGAAAGCATTCAAAGAGGGAACGCATTCTGGAAACTATACAAAGGCTGAAGCCAAAAAAGAAGTCCTAAGGACCCAAGGAGTCCCAAAAATCAACAATCTCCTCTATATATTTAAATTTCTCCCCATCACCTAACTAAAAAGGGAACTAATAAATTAATAATAAGAAATTCCAAAGCCCCAATGGAAGATTCCTTCAAAAGATCTACTATTCCGCTCCTTCCAAATGCACCACCAAACACAAAAGGGGGCATGTGGAGGGAAAAAATCCCCTCCAATAAGAATTATACACGATATCACAATATAAATTTATCCGTGATAGATTTTAGAAGTCCATTCTGCTCTTAGGCCCAAATTATTCAGATTTTTCAGCCCAGCGTCATTAACATTGGATCTCCGTCTTCATTCAGTGTTAGGTAACGGAGTTAACAGCCCAATACCATTAATATCTAAATTTTCGGCCCAAACTCAAGGTCATTTGTATCAGTTTACATCCGGCCCAATATACTTAAAGACATGCCAGTCATGTTAGACCAAGGATTCAACAGAAAAGGCAAGCTTTGTGCAAGGAAAGTTTAACATGGAGAGGAGTAAACAAGGGAAAGAATGTCGTACACAAAAAGAATTGGAGGACAAGCAATGCGAGTCCTACCACAATTCAACCACTTTTTTGTGTATAAATAGAGGCTTAGACCTCCAATAAAGGGATCAAGCAATTTTACACTTCTCAATATTCTGTTCTTGTTTATTTTTATTATTTGTTGAGTGAGTTATATTATTTTTCTTAATTATTATTAGTTGAGAGAAATTTTGCACCTACACTTTGGCGCCGTCTGTGGGAACGTATACAAATATACTCCCACTTTTGTTTTGAGTGAATTCTGTTACTACTATCTGGAATGACGAACGGAGGATCTACAGTTGATCAACAGACGGAGTTGATGCAGAAGATGCGGGAAAAGTTTTTACACCAGTTTGAGGCACTTCGTCAAGTGAACAAAGCTAGCGTAGCCCAGATTGCCTTGCTTCAACAACAAAATAACACTCTTCAAACAGCGATAGCTCAGTTGACGCCACAGCCGCCACCGGTTGATAAGGCAGCACCACCTCCCAATAAAAACATTCCTCCAGTTAACGAGCCTCAATTCAATGGGGCACGACCCAATGAGGCTTGGCCTAATGAAGCTTGGCAACAGCAGAAGACAAGGACCGAGGCAGTTGCTTCAGACAACCCCCCTTGTCTCACGCAGGACGAGTAGGCCGAATCTAGCTGTGAGCTTAAGGTATGGTCCAATGGTATTCCAGATGGCATTGGTGTACATGATTCCTTTGACGAAAAAAGACTCCTGAATATTCAAACACCCACTGAGATGACCAGAGAGCATAAGAACTCTCTAGTGAGGACTCCATTCACAGACGATGTGTACCTTGTTAAGAGACCTAAGAAATTCACTATGCCTTCCTTTACTCAGTTTGATGGTACGGGAGATCCTTCTCGGTACCTAGATCACAACGCACAAAAGATAGCTCTGAACAATCACAACGATCTGTGGATATGAAAAGTCTTTCCTACCAGTCTAACAAGAGCTGCGTTGGAGTGGTTTAGGAACAGGCCACACAAATCTATTCTGGACTATGAAACTCTGTGCACTATGTTCCTGGCTCAATATTGTAGAAACAAGAAGCAAAAGAAGAATATCATTAGCCTTTTCACCATGAGGCAAAAGAAAGGAGAAACGCTGCAGGATTTCTTGTCCAGATTCAACATGGAGGCCTCAAAAATAGCGGATTGCCATCCTGCCACTGCTATAGAAACGTTTAAGCTTGCAATGATTCAAGGAACCAAGTTTTATACCTCCCTAGTTAAATATTCCCCTCCGAATATACAGACTCTCAATGCTAGGGCACAGATTTATATCCGGCTCGAGGAGAATGTAGCCCACCGAGCACAGCACACCACCCTTGTCACAGTGGAGAATAAGCCTCGGGAAAGAATTCCAAATGCAAAAGTTCAAAAAAGCCAGCGTGCTTCAACACTAGTCACTCAGGCACCTGAGAAAAGACAAAGGACAAAGAAAAGGTTCACACCTCTCCATACCACCTTGGCTCGGCTACTCCAAGAAAATAAGATGAATTTCACAGCCCCTCAGCCAAAGAAGTAACCCTTGGAACAGAGGGACAAAAACAAGCATTGTGCTTACCATAGAGATTATGGACATTCAACTAATGATTGCAGATCCCTTAGGCGGCAAGTGGAGAACATGATAGCCAGATGTGAGTTGGCACATTACCTCACAACAAAGGAGTATGTGAAGCCTTGTGAGGTCAACCCTCGCAAAGTAAAAGATAATCAAGTAAAAGTCATTCATGCAATACATGGTAGATCTGAAGATGATCAAGAGTCGAAGAAGGTATATAGATCCAGATTGAGGGTAGCCCATAAACTCAGAAGGCTATCCTCGGTCAATACTATCGCTTCAGGCAGCATCCGTATTGGGTTCTGCGATGGCGACCTGTCCAGAGTTCAACTTCCCCACGAAGATCCGTTAGTCATCAGTCTCCTAGTGGAAAATTGCATGATCAAAAGGGTCTTGATAGATCCGGGAAGTAGCGCTAATATTATCACAAAAACGGTCTTTGAGCAACTCAAAATCCCATTATCATCAATTCGACCCACCTCCAGTCCCTTGATGGGATTCGATGGTACGAAGGTGGACCACTTGGGGGTGATTGATTTATCTGTCACTGTAGCCAAATGGACTCTGAAGAAGAACTTCATCCTAACAGAAATCCACCATTCTTATAATCTTATTATGGAAAGAGGCTGGATCCACTGAATGAATGGAGTTCCGTCTACCCTTCATCAAGTGATGCGATGCTTATCTTCGGACGGTAATGAGGTTATTAATTTGTGGGGAGATCAAGTTGCTGTAAAAAAATGTTATATGCTGACATTGGAAGAAGTGAAGAAGATGTCTAAACAGTCTTAGCCGGGCATCACTTTCAGAAGCACACCCAAATAGCAATTACAGAGCCCTTTGCCCAAGTATCTTAAGGTAGAGGAAGAAGCCAAAGCTGTGAAACCTACCGAGGAATCCCTCGGAACCGAGAAGTTATCCTCGATGATCCTCAGAAAGTCACTTGTATAAGCTCTTCCTCTACAGCTAAAGAGAAAGGAGCATTAATCAATGTCATTCGACATAATGCAGATGCATTTGCCTGGGATCATTCGGACATGGTAGGGATCGACCCCTCACTCTCTTGCCATAGTCTGAAGGTGGACCCGGAATTCAAATCAGTTAAGCAAAGACACAGAAGGTTCGCTCCTGAGTGCAATCAAATTATAGCTGAAGAAGTGAACAAGCTGTTACAAGCAGGTTTTATCCGAGATGTGCAATATCCACAATGGCTCTTGAACGTGGTGGTAGTTCAAAAGAAGAATGGGAAGTGGAGGGTTTGCATAGACTTCACCAATCTTAACAAAGTTTGCCTTAAAGATAGCTTTCCTTTACCCTAGATAGATCAGATGGTTAATGCTACTACTGACTACAAGAGGCCTATATTCCTTGATCCATACTCTGGATATAATCAGATCCCAATGAATCTAGAGGATAAGGAAAATACTACCTTCATTACAGAGAAGGGCACCTATTGTTATAGGCTCATGCCCTTCGGATTGAAAAATGTTGGGGTCTGTAATACCCCTAATTTTCAAAATGATAAAATTTAAATTTAAATTTTATTCTATGTGCATTTTTTTAAAAAAATTTATTTTGTGGCTATGTGCTTATGTATCAGAGTGTGTATTTGGGTAATTGTTAATTTTAATTAATTATTTTATTTAAATGAGGTTGTTTTCTTTAATTGCGTTTATTTGAATTAATTAATGGTTTTATTTAATTGTATTTTTATTTTTTTTTCTATTGAATTAATTGCATTATTATTTGTCTTTCATTGGAGTGTTTATTTGTTTAATTGCATGAATTGGATTATTTTAGGGTTTTATTAATGTTACATTTAGGTTTTTGTTTTTAGAAATCACGTATGGGCCGATTAGGGTTCAGTGTAGGGTTTAGTTGGATTTAGGTTTAGAAATTTCATATAAATATATATCATACGTCTCCTTAGGGTTTTATAACTCTATTCATTGCACAGTGAAGGCAGAGACATAATAGAGAGAAACAGAGAGAGGTTGTGAGGAAAAATAGAGGGTTTTCAGTCGGGATTTCGACTGAGGATTAAAGGACGGACGTAGGAGAAGAGAAGGTTGAGCAATAGGAAATTGAACAGTGAATTGGACGTCGTCGGAAAACCTAAGAAGACGGCAACAAGGTTTTGATTCCAAAACCACACAGGCAAGTTCTTTTCTTTCTCTTTCCCATTGGCCTATGTTCTGTGCATACCTAGATAGTCTCTAGGGTTTTAATTGATTATTAACTGAATTTTACATGCTTATTGTATGATTAAATTGAGTATCTGTATGCATGAATTAACTTTGTTACAGTTCATGCAAGTTTGGTTTGGTTACAGTGATTGTTCTTCCTAAGCATGTTTAATCGGTAAATGTTCTAAGATTTGTAATAAATGAAAACTGACTTAAGTAAGGGTATGGGATGATTCTGGACACACTTAGGACTCTTAGGAACAATTTTAAAAATATACAAAAAGGTTGGAAGTAGCCAGAGTCAAAGCAGATGGTCTGAAACGGAACTGGTTGGACAGAGGAGGCTCTCAGAGAGGGAAAGCCAGCTCTGGGAAGCCAAGAGCCGGCTCCAAGAAGGCATAGAGCCGGCTCCATGCTTGTAAGAGCCTGCTCTTGCATTTTAAGAGCAGGCTCTCTCATTTTTGCTTGTTCTGGAATTTTTAACGAGTACTATTGAGTGCTTGGTTCTCCCTGAACAGTTTTGGGGCTTTACTGGGAAATTTAATTTGTAATTCCAAGTGCTAGTAATACCTCTAATTGCATAAGATACCTGTTAAATTTATTGAATGAACAGTATGAAGTATTAACCATTTTTCATACTATTACCAGTTGAAGGGAAATTAATGGTTTAATTTAATTCAGCGATTTAACGGATTATCACATGAGTATAAATCTTGCTTTAGATCACAGTAAGGCTAATTATTTGTCAGATTTAACCTATGCATGCTTTGGATTTTAAATTGAGATATGGAACTCTATTCGGCAATTACTTGGATTATTGTTTTGGGACTTTAATTGCGGGACTATTTAATTATGTCTATCAATTAAATGGATTATTGTTGTGGATGTTAGTTACTGACTATTATTTATATTCGGTAATTTATATGGTTGTGGACCTTAATTGTTGAACTATAAAATAACGTTCTAGCAATTACAGGAGTGTTATTTTGGATTGTAGTTGATGAACTGTTTAAATTCTATTTTTATCAACTATGTGGATTATGTGGATTTAGTTGATGTACTATTTGAGTTGTTGCATCATTTACGGATCATATGCATTATATGCACCGGTATGGGACGGTGGCATATGGAGGGACGGATTAGATCAAAACGCTAATTCCTACCCATTCATACATACGGAATGGATTAACTAAAACAGTTAAATCCTACATGGTTTTATGTCCTGTCAACTAAAACAGTTGAACGACATATCGGATGGTTGTTTATATTTATGTATTAGGAAGGATAGGGATTTAATTAAAACATTTAAATCCTAATTATATGTAGTGTCTGAGTGACGAATAGTTGAACGACACAACATTGTATTTGGATGGATTAGGAAGGATAGGGATTTAATTAAAACATTTAAATCCTAATTATATGTCGTGTCTGAGCGACGAATAGTTGACCGACACAACATTGTATTTGGATGGAATTTATTTATATAATTATGGTCCCACGATATGAGCTTGAGTCTCATAGTCGACGGTTAGGGAACGTATATACAGTAGGATGTGTAGCAGGATATGTTGGTTGAGGTATACCCTGTTAGGTCTAGGTACACATGCCTACCTTTGGGTGCGTTTTTGCATGTTGCCTTCTATTCAGGTTGAGACCCCCATCGTTGTCTAGTGAGAGTCCTGTAGTGTGGATATAAATATATTTACGGATTATATAGATATGGTTGAGACATCTAGGATGTATCTGGAACTTGTTCGTGGGCCTGACTCACTATTATTTTCAGGTATCAGATGGTTCCAGTCTTAGAGCTTATTCGTGCTGAGCAGAGACGGTCACTCATTCTTCCGAAGACGTAGGAGTTTTCTCCATGGTTTATGTTGACCTTAAGGATTTCATCCAAGGACAATCTAGTTGTTTTGATGATAACAAACCATTAATGGTGTTTAAGGACTAATGTTTACATTGAGTGTTATATAGATTATTCATATTCAAAGAATGACCTCAATGAAGCTATAAAGATTATTCCAAGTATTTCATTATTCAAGATCACATCAATAAAAGAAATGGATACAAAAAAAACTTAAAGTTGTAAGGAACCAAATGTAAAGTCCATCCAAAGATAGCTTAGACTACAACGAGTAAGAAAGCAACTCAAAGAAAGGAAGAAAGCTAGTCCACCTGAAAGCCTACACGATCATGGACAAAGCGTGAAGAAAGGGGTAGATAGGGTGGTGAGTGTTTAGGATTCAATGTCAAAGTATTTATGAATCCATTTGAAGCTCATCTCTATAGGACCATGCATATCATATCATCATTCGTATGCTCATATATCCATTAGCAATTGACTATGCACTTCATTCATATACAATTGACATATGGAGTCTTTGCTAAAAAGTGAGTTAGTTCAAGCTTGCATAAGCTTCGAAAGAACTCATCACTTATGCTAGAAATGCTAAGACCATGCACATCAATCATAAAATTTATATTGGTCAACAATTAAGGTATGAAAAGCCTTTATTACCATGAGTTGGTAATGGACATTAGGACCCCAGAATGTGCGTCATGAAAAACTGTGTTTTTTTTGGCTAAGTGTGAAAAATGGATTTTTGAAATAATGATTATTTCAAAAGAATTTTTCCCGGTAATAACTCTTTATACTTCAACTAGCCTAAACTGATTTTATCAGAATTTTTGACCAAGTCTACATTGGTCTACATAAGGATTCATTTTTACCAAAACTGTCGGAAATCCAAATTTGTACTAAAACTGAATTTCGACATTTTGATTTAGTTGGATTTCAATTTTTTAGTATTTTTTATTGAATCCAAATGGGGGGTACTTCCTTATTTACATTGTAAACTTAAAGTAAATGTCTTTAAATACTATAAAGACATTTACTTAAGTGTTTTCAATGGAAATAAGCTGTATGCAGATGTCCTGTATTGAAAGTCCTATGCTTAAGCTGTCATCTGTCAAAACTGTCAATGCATCAGGTTTTACGTCGACCGGTTCTAGCTTCATGTCGTCCAGTATCTAGGCAGTACTGAAATTTTAGGAACATATCATTTACGTCGACTGGTTTGATGCATACGTCGACCGATATCTAGGCAGTACTAAAATTTCAGGAACGTAACATACATCGACCGGTTTGGAGCACACATCAACCGGTTCATGCAAAGACGTCGACCGGTTTATGCCATACGTCGACTGGTTCCTGTCGAAGCTGCAGATTTCGAAATGTAGCGGCTCTTTCCTCCTCGACCTTTGTGCATTCAACTCCTAACAGCTATATTGAGCATGCAAACTCTATAAATAGAGTAGGGAATGTCTGAATAATTAAGAGACATCATTTGAAAGACTTCATATTGCATTAAAGAGAGCTTTTGTTCTCAAATTTTCTCTTCATCTCTCTCATTCACTCTTATCTATCTTGAGAGATTCTAGCAAAGATTA